GCCAGTCCCTAATAATGCAAGATGTTTTTCCCTGCTACCCAAATCAGTCCCTCTTCTCTTTCATCACCATTGAAAGCTCTACAGTCTTGCCTGTTATGCAAGCTGGATAGTCCCTTTAAGTTCCCTATCCCCATGTATATCCCCTCCCATTTTCTCACTGTCCTCTTTCTAAGCCTTCTACCTAGGGTAAATGTTACTTATGTATCCTCATTGCTGCCTTAGCATCGGTAATGGCAGGTCTTTGCTATGCTGAGTTCGGTGCTCGTGTTCCCAAGACTGGCTCTGCCTATTTGTATACTTACGTAACTGTTGGTGAACTTTGGGCTTTTATCACTGGCTGGACTCTCATTTTATCATATGTTATAGGTAAGTTGGGAAAATAGAGTAGAATTTCTGGGGAAACTAGAAATAAGATTAAGATTGGAAGATTCTGCCTTTCTCACTCACTTAACCCAAGTCAACCTGTGTTATTTTCTTCTCAGTCATCATTACCAACAGTAAAAGTTTTGTAAGACAAAATGCATCCTCTGCAGTGCCTGAGTAAAACATCTGTCTTCAATGGCTTAAACAGAAATAACGTTTTAGAAAAAAGTGACAAATTTAGAGCCATAGCCAGGCATTGCATATATAGCACTTATTTATGCCTTTTCAGCACTACAGAAAGTGGGTGTACGGATGTGCGCTCAGCCTGAACCATTACAAAAATGGCATAAGCACTACAAAAGTGTTCCTGTCTGAAACAGTAACTTGACTTCAGCACTATGCTTTGTAGTGTTGGGTGTAATGTCTATATACTTGCATGTACTGCGACAGAGGGTCTCTGGCTCCCCCAGTGTGCCCCCAGTGCTCTGCTCTTGGCCCCACCAAGAAGAGTGGTAGGTTCCATGACAGCCCACTAGTGAGCAGAGCTGCAGTTCAGTCAGGGCTAGGGGCTGTCATTCTCAATGTGGCCATCTGGCCAAGATCCCACTCCTGCCCCTCTCTGGGGAGTGAAGTAGACATGGCGATGAGGACAGCTGTCTTTGTTTGTACCCCTCCCTTCTCCTGGGGATGCCAACAAACTGTTAGACAGCAGGCTGCTGCCCTGATCGCTTGAAAGTAGTGGCTTTCCTCACTGCAGAAGGCAGCAGACTGCCAAAGAGCATGCCGCTGCCTTCGTCCCCCTCCCCACAGCAGTGTACTTTTTGACAGCTTGTCACCCTCCACCAGTGGCTGATAACCTACTCAGTTTTCCCCCTTCTTCAGCAGGGAAAAGAGCAGGCTGTTGGTGATTAGGCCCACGGGGGGGAAGAAGGGGCAGTGAGGGAATGGAGGTGGAGTGACAGCTCTCTATCACCCCCCTGGCTGGGGAGCATGCCCTTGTAGTGCTGCAGCCAGGGCCCTCTGAATGTGTGTATGCTCCTCAAAGCACTACATCAGCTGGTATTTGAGATTCAAGTATCACACTTCCTTCCAGAACTATAATTCTGCAATAAAGGCTTTGCACAGGCACCAGTTTCTACTGACAATGTTAATGAAGCTCACTATGGACACAAATACCCAGCTATGCTTCACTGCAAGGCAGGAACCTAAATCACAGGAACCTAAATCACTGTTGAACCATAATATCCAAGCCACAGTATTTGGGCTTCATCTTCCAATGGAGATTATACTTTCTGAGAGTGATATAAAAAAATTTTCATTACGCCCATTAAATTTTCTGCCAGCTACATAAACTTTTCTTCCCCTCTTAAGTTGTTTTCTAGATTGCTAAATACTCACTGTGCCTCATTTTAGAAGTGTGTGCATTCAATCATGGATGGAAGTTATTTTGTATCAGTTTAAATCTGTAAAATATATTAGGATTAATAAAAACACAATGAAATAATAACACCTAATAATGCAAACTACATGGGCAATTAATATTTATTATTATACTATAAAAGTCAGTTGGCATAGGAGAGTTTACTTGTACTATTTCTACTGTGATGAATGATGTAGTTACTACACTTTAGTGCACGATGCAATTTGTGGATATGAATTGCTGTTATAATAAAATCGGCAAACAAGGAAAGGCTCACTTTTTTAACAATAATAATTGTATCATTCCTAAATAAAAATGCCACCATGTTGTTCCTATGTGGCAGAAACGTAAACATGTGTATTTGTTGAAGGTACAGCAAGTGTAGCAAGAGCATGGAGTGGCACCGTTGATGAAATTGTTGGAAAACGAATTGGTCATTTTTTCACAACATATTTCAAAATGAACTTTCCTGGTCTAGCAGAGTATCCAGACGTCTTTGCAGTGTGCCTTATACTGCTTCTGTCAGGTAAGAAATGGCAATCTTTTAATTTATGAAGGTCATATCGAATTAGAGAATGTCCTGAAGGTGATGATTAGATCCTGTAAATATTTTTATACCAGTAACAAAAGAAAATATGTTATAGTTTTAATGTTTTGTGACTTGCCAGAGTTTCTTCTAATATTACTAGTGTCATACAAAATCATACAGTACATAGATTTAAAGGGTCTGTGAATCAAAATCTGAAAGCACGTTTTCATGCATACTTTTGTATCTGAAAGAAGCTGAAATGGGCAAAGACAGAAAGCATACAAAATGTCCAGAAAATAAATTTACTTAGGAGCAGGTGTTGAGTTTTAACTTAAACGAGGGCTATCTTCTGTCTAGAAAATAAATATGGAAAAATACGTAGAAGTTGGGAGCATTTTAATGCTGGAAAAATATTATATCTGCTTCAACAGAAAACCATCTTGCTATATTAATTTTTTGTTTTCTTTAGCACTAACCAGGTAAGTTAAGCTTTCCAATCTGTAGCTACTTCTTAATTTAACCACTGTTTCCTGGGGGTTTTTTTCTATCTGCTTTTTTATTTGTACTTTCTCTCTTCATCTTCTGTTTTCCTTCTACCTTCCCTTAAGAATCTTTTTTTCATATTCCAAATATAATTACTCCCTTAATTAAATCATACTAGCATTGGGGGAGAAAGAGTGTGGCTGTGCTTCCTGCTGTGTAGGTAATACCAGATAGAGCTCACTGGAATCAGTAGGAACAGCTAAGCAACAGGTGTTTTAGGAGGAATCTCTCAATATAATTTGTAGCAGCCTGGGCAGCTGCTGTGGTGTCCCAAATTTCATACTGGCTTTCAGTGGGAGCAGAATAAATCTATGAAACTCCCCTTGCTTAAGTTTTTCTTTTATCAAATGAATAATCTCTGATAATCTGCATTCCTAAGGGCTTCATTTTTAAAAAGATATTTTACATACCGAATTTCATGTCACATTAGGTTAATGAGGGTATTGCGCTCTAGCAGGGTGAGAGGGCAGTTTAAGTGTCTAGAAAACAACATCACTCTGTTGCCAATAGGAATACCACCACTCAAGCATATCATACATAACTTTCAGCTTCTGCAGAAATAGCTGATGTCTCATTAGCAGAGTCAGAAATTTAATTAGGACATTATCCTGATGAGTTTAACATTTTTTAGAGTTAATCTCTCAATAACGAGGAAGCATTATAGATGTGGAAGTGCTTAGATTTACAGAGAAGCTAAGAGACTTTGCTATTATTTTGTATTTTGGTTTCTTTATATATTTGCTGTCCTGTTTTCCACTAAACTATACATAATTCTTCCAATTGCCAGCTGTCACAGTAGGTCCCTGTTGGATTAATTTCGAATAGGGTAAATATACCTTCATGACACAGGGGTATATTTATTTTAGATCATAATTTGCAGCATAATAAAGGCTATAAAGAAATTATCTAAGACTAAGTACAGACAGATAAAAAGCCCAAGGCTGAATCAGTTCAATCTTTGCAGTTTAGTCTAACCTGCATAGATTGAACAGATAAGCAAGTGAACAGACATTTACTTCTGATTCTGGAAATGCAGGCACATGCCTGCAGTGACCCAGGCAAGAGGCCAGCGGTTGCTAGAGCATGCCTCCCTGCTTGGCTGGAGCAGACATCTTGGGCAGATAGCGGACAGCTTAGGATCAGGCTTGGTACTGCCTTGCATGCCTTATTTAGCACACAGGGCTATGGACCCATGGGGACCTCTCTGGGCTGGATGACAGGGCTCAGAGGGCCATGGGCCAGGGGTTCAGCACCTCTGCTCTAAAACAAAATTCTTTAAGATCTCTTAAGAGGGGTTTCTGTAATTAATAGCTCCATTATTCTAGACACTAGTGGTAACTTTGGAATGTGCACTGAAAAAACAAGATTATAGTTGGACAAAAAAATGGAAGGGCAAGCATTCATTTAAATGTTTGTGAACTGTTTACTTTTCCTGAATTAAAATTTTAACTAGCTAACGTGAGGTACCAGACCTCAATGTGAGGCACTGCAGAGCACTCGCTACCTAAGCCATGTTTAAGTTCACTGTGCACAGAGAATTATAATGGTCCCAGATAAAGAATCTCACCTCTCTCTTCCATGAATGCACATTCACCTGCACCCATATGCACACAAATGGCTTTTTGCAAGATTACATCTTGTATTGAAATGGAAGAAAAATTGAATTTAATTGGTTTTCTTCATTGTAGCTGAGGGGGTGTGTACATGCACATGTGTGTAGATATTTAGATCAAAAAAGAAACTGGTTTGAGGAAAACTTGCATGGCTTAATAATTCTTTTCATCAAAATTGTATGGCTGAAATAAGCTACACTTGCTGTAAATACTTTTTTTTAGTAATTCATGACCATCAAGAAGGTACCATATTTCTTGGAATTTAAGATACCCTTGAACTTAAGGCACCCCCCCACATCTTCAAACTCTCAATTTAAGATAGAATGAAATATCAAGTAAAGATGCATTTACCAGGACACAGCCTCTGTGGTGCATATAAGGCCTTTGTTGCATGTTACACTTAGAACATGTTAACTGCATTAAAACACAAGCATCTGCACATTCAAGGAGTTAAGTATGTGCTAAGTGCACTTGTATTGTAGCAAAGTTGGGACTTTTTGCAGGAGTATCTCCAGATCATATTAAGTAGCACATATTTTGCTTTTGTCCAATTGCTCCACAGAGAAAATATGAGTAATTTGCAGTCCTGGGGGTGATTGTCGATCCCAGACCTAGAACTGCACCAGAGTCTCGAATCAGCTATGGTCCTGGGGCACTGGCTCAATCTAGCAGCAGGGATGGTACCCTACTTGCCTCTGCCCACCACCAATGGCAGAGACCTGGCTCACCAGAGGTCCCTATGAAGCAAGCGTGCAGGTTCGGGGATCATAGTAAGCATTACTGTGCGACTGGTCATGGCATGCACAGTGTCTCCAGGCTTGTTTTCTTTTCTAGAGAAGAAGACAGCTTCCTCACTTTAAAAATTTAACCTAAATTTGGGGAGCCGATTGTCAGGGAAAAGGTGTGAGTAGTATGTAATAAATTAGGGTAATGTATTTATTGGCAACCAGTACTCAATCGTCACATTCTTGTTTGGTTATTTTCTGGCATTGTCTTTTGTTGGAATTTTTATATGTACATCATTTTTATCATAACAGTTTGATTATTATGATTTGGTTGACTTATTCATTTGAATTACTTTTTTTTTTCCTTTTTAATTTCTTTACGTGTATTTAAGATTTGGATCATTTTTAGAATAAATATTTTGTTTTAAATAGTGTGTCTTAAATTTAAAGGAATATTGGAACCAGACTCTTCATGGGAAGAAGACTGAAAAAAATCTGTTTTACTGTTTTATCCAGTGCCTGTTGTTATAGGATTGAAGTGTTCATTAATCTAGTACTATTCACTCCTAAAAGCCATAAAGTCTAGTACAGAGGTTCTCAAACATTTTCTTACTGCATACCCCCTTCCAGATTTACCAGCTGCTCACATACCCCTACAAGCATGTTTTCTATTTTAATGCTTTAATGCTTATTATTATTATAATGAAAATTAAATCTGCCATTACGCATTTTCTCCCGTGTACCCTCCAGAGACGTCTTGCAAAACCTCAGGGGTATGCATACCACAGTTTGGGAACCCCTGGTCTAGTACAATTAACTTAGTACAGTTCATAATAGTAGCATACGTTTCTTATAAAAATGCTCTTAACTACCTGAGGAGGATATTAAATCTTTAAAAACCCACTTATATTTTGTAGGTCTTCTGTCTTTTGGAGTCAAGGAATCTGCATGGGTGAATAAAATCTTCACTGCTATTAACATCTTGGTCCTCTTCTTTGTTATTATTTCTGGCTTTGTAAAAGGAAACGTTGATAACTGGAAAATAAGTGAAGAATATCTCATCAATCTCACCTTAGAAACACAGTAATTATGTATTTTTTCTTTTAATCTCCCAATTTTGTTCTATATCCCTTAGTCCTGTTTTAAATTAGTTTCTGAATTATGGCTTATGTTGTACATGCTTTTGTCTATGGTATCAACAGGTTTAGATTCTATCTAATAGTATGTTGTTGGGAAAGGTACTTATTCTCAGAAAAATATATATACTGATTTCTTGTTTTCTTTTAATAATGTTGTCTTTAGCCACTTGAAAGTTATCACTTGGAAGCCTAATATTTAATTTCAGTGAAAATTTACAGCAAGCTCTGGGAACTGATCCTACTCCAGGAAATCAATGGGACTTTTGCTATTAATTACGAAGTGGGAAACAACATGGTTTAATATTCATTATTTATCAGTTTTGTTCTGTTGAGCTTACCATTATTAGTGAAACTTAGTGATACAAGATCTTTATCTCAAGCTTCTTGCTGGTATGGGGTAGGGGTGGGGAGGGCTTTGGCTTATGAAATGGAACTTAAATATGAGAATGCACCCATTTTAAAAGTGTTCATTTAGAGTTATTAGAGGCAAAAAACTATCACATTCTTTTTACTACTAACTAAATGTTACTCTTTTATATCACATTTTATTTTTCTTTAGAAATTATTCTTACTTTGAAAACATAACAAGCACGTATGGGACTGGTGGTTTTATGCCATATGGTTTCACGGGAACATTGGCGGGTGCTGCAACCTGCTTTTATGCTTTTGTGGGATTTGATTGCATTGCTACAACTGGTAAGGCAAGATTTTTGGATACTTATTTAAAGCAGAACAGATTATCTATCACGTTCTTCCTCCCTCTGCCTATACTTAAACTGTGTAAACCTGGCCTGAAAGAAAATTGACGTCATGCTTCACTGTGGCAACCCACACAAGTTGTATTCTTTTCTCCATTCTGCTGTTATGAATAAAGTTCTCTTTGGCTACAAACTGATGTCACCAAATGACGCTAACTAGCTGTTCTGGGATGTGTCCCGGTACAGCTGATCTACTTCATTAAGTTAAAGAGATGTCCCCTGCTGTCTCACAAGGTGGGGTCCCTACCACTCCTACAAGCAGGAGGGTCAAATCATGAGGAACAACATTTGGGGAGGACCTCTGCAAACAGGAGAACCTTGGGTTTCCTGCCTGAGGATTCCCCAGGTCCCTTGCTGACCTGTGCGAGGTCCCACACTTTCCTGTACCAGTTTCTGCACCACCCCATGCTGCCACACTGGTCCCACACCACTCTGTGCTGGGTCCTGCACTGCTCTGTGCCACTGCACCATACCAGGATTTGTGCTGGGTCCTGTGTGTCACTGCATGGCAGGTCCTGTGCTGGATCCTGCTGGATCCTGTACCTGGGGAATCCCTGGAGCATCTTTCCTAACAAGGAACCCAGGCAGGTGCTACCAGGGCTTTAGAGGACAATCAAATGGATCCCAGGAATTGTCCCACAAGGAAATTTCCGAGACATGTAGGATTGGGCTCCTAAAGCCCCAGGAGCTCCTGCCTCCTGTGGAAGGAGATCAGACAGACCAGTCATAAGAAAATAGATGTGTGGCATACATTTTATACCACCTGTCATGGCCACAAGTTTGGGTATTTGTGATGGGATAAGGGGTATAGAAATCTGTTTGCTTGGCCTCTATGCCACCATAACATTTTTCCAGGCTTTCCAGTATTTGCCTATATCATATCTTTCCAGACTTTGCCTATATCAGATTCAAAGGCAAGGGAAGCATCTGGGATGAGTCAAACTGGAATCTTTTAGCTAAATACATATAAAGGATCTTGGCTTTTGCTCTTTTCCCCCTGCTGGTTGATGGGCTTAATTTTAACTTTAAAAAGATTCCAACAGTAATAATTCTCAGAATCCCTTTACATAGATTTGAAATGGGTACTTACGAAGCTTACTGCAGTGGAAGATCTTCAATTTACTTATTGACTAAAGAGATATATTCCAAAGCCTAATTTTATATATCAATAAATGGAAATTGCGATGCCTATAAACAATAACCAGTATTGTGTGCATGTAATATTTAATTTTGCTTACATTATTTTTTTCATATCATATCTGGCAACAAAGGACAAAGTTAGCTTTGAGTTTTCCTTATATTATACCTAAAGACTGCTATTTTTTCTTGTATAGGATATTAAAGCTTAGACTGCTGAGCTTTTTCTTTATATTGTTACATATTGAAGTAGAAGA